AACCTTGTACATTTGGGGGAGGGGAAAGGCGACTAAATTTTCCGGGGCATGGAAACTGGTAGAAGTATTTGTTTTATATTTAAATTACATTACGCTTTGGAGGATGTGGGTGCGAAGAGATGCCCAGGAAGAAACTCTGAACACAGACCTGCTGACACAATCACATACACACATACATTGACATACCCGGCTGGTTTAAAATTCAAAGGAACACGACAAGGACACGGTCGGCTTGACATTACAGCAGTGTGTACCTTAATGGCCTACTATAAATAGATTGACCAGGAAAACTTGTCGCCCTGGAAGGTATTGTTAAAAGATCGAGTCGTGTGTCTTTTTGTTGTGTTCTTTCTACAAGGAAGATGTGTTTCAGTCTTCTTGTGCTGGATTTATTGAATAATAATAATAGATCATATGTTATGTAAATATAACGTACGTTTTATGTAAAACTTAGAGGAAAAATAGTGCGATATATTAACGATAATTTTTAATTGCGTTATGTAGATCACCCGATTAATTAGCTACAGCACAAAGAATCGATTGATATTATTGATTTTTTTTTGTTCCATTGCCCGATCAATTTTTATCTGGTATTCACAGCAAGAATATGTAGCATCAAAGGAGCTAGACTAGTTTAATATAGGTGTTAAGTAACATAGACGAGACTCTACAGAGAAAAACCAAGAATCTGATAAATTTATTAGAGAAGATTGAGCTTGTTGAATATTTTGTTTTGTATGGTGCTATACAGAGTGGTATGAGACGGCTTGTCATAAGCGGTAAAGCACTAGACTGCTAACTCGAAAGTCTCGACTTCGAATCCGAGTTCATGTAAGTTGAACGACCCTGAGTCCACACAGGCGTCTGGGGAAAGTGCTGACCACACCATCCCTTCTAATGCCGAGGTCTAGATTCATACGAGCTCAACTTTATCTGCCCTATCTTTATCTGTCTATAGAGAATTATTTACTTTACTTTAAATAGAGTGTTGGTTAAGATTCACGTAAGATAGCACTTACGTTTATAATAATTGTATACTTAATCATCACATCTTCTCAATGTGTAATCCATCTACTTTTAGTGTAACACATCTACCTAATGTGAAACAGTCGCTTATTGTGTAATACGTGAACCTCAAATCAAGAAAAATGAAATTCGGCATTTTATTGTTTATCATATTGGGCATCAAAATACTGTACGATTTCTTTATTTTTCATAATTAATTTATCTTTCAAAATTTCAAAACATGGATAACTACTGCTTATGTATTCTCGGGAGAATAATGTCTTCTACAATTTCTTGTATATCGCAGAAAACTTTCAGGTAAAATCGAAAATCTAACATGTATACACGTGAGACTTTCACTTGCCCGATCATAAAATATGTTTTAATTTGTAAAATCCGTCTTAGTTTGGGCCGTATCATCAGACCACGTTTGAGATTATTTGCTTTCTAATGATTCTTTTGATTTCCTATGGATGTAGCGAGATTTCTGGTTATTTTTTTCTTTCCCTCAGTTTTCGCCAGGGCTGTGATCTCGTTTCCTGGTATCTGGGAGTTGCCCGGGATCCACTACTGCAGAATCATGCTGCATTTATTTCTTAGCGTTTCTAGGGCTGTCCTGAGTGATTGAGTATAGGATTCTGGATAGTTTTAGAGACTGCACGACAGATTTTGCATCTTTAAGAAAGACTATCTGGTTATTTGGGGACTCAGGGTGACCTGACTGTTTGTTTGCTGCATGTTCTAAATCTTCTTTCTCTGCTATAAAATTATCATATAGGCTGCCTGCAGCTATTGACTTTTTCTAAGCCGCATGCCCCTATTTAGTTGTTTTATTTTCTATTTTCAGTAATTCATAATTTGTAAATTTGACACTAACATGTTGCGACTGAAACTATTTTTGCTTTAAAACACTATCAGTAGCTAGTTAAGGGCGATTATCCTCACACTCACTTTCAACTCCTCACTCCCCAATCCGTCCCCCCCCCCCCTCACCCCGTCAAAGCCCGTTTACAGACGATAATTAAAAGATCAAACAGAACTTTTAACCTCCCGTTAGTTTTAAATAGTTTAAAAAACGGAATTATCTGACCAAAATAGCCGACATTAATTCAACCCGGCTCTACAATTATAAACATTCGGCGTGAACCACAGCTCACCAGACTGGTGGGGGTGAGAGTGGTTGCGATATGGTCTGTTCCGAATGCCTGGAGAGCATAGTCGACACGTAGATAATTATATATATATATATATATATATATATATATATATATATATATATATATATATATATATATACGATAAAGAGGATAGAAGAAAGTCTGATGAAATATATAAGAAGGGTATCATCAATGCGTTACCAATCCTATGTTCTTAGACGCTTGCCCCTCTTTTCTAAAACTGAGTTATTTAAATGAAAATCAACTTCCCAAAGCTTCATGGCGATCGGTTGAACGGCGTCAAACCGAAATTAACTTTTATTTTTATATACCGTATATAGAGAAAAACCTCATCCCCCTGCCCACCCCCCCTCCCCCCCCCCCCCCCTGGGCGCCGCCCTTGCGAAATTTTTGTTTTGTTTACAGAAACCTCAACTTCAGGGTTTTAATCAACTCCCCAAAGTTTGTAATCGACACAGCACGACAACTTTTTAAAGATCTATATAAAGGAAACTATAATTACCATTGATCTAAATACGACATTGTTTATTTTTAACGTAACTTTTATTTTGAAATAGAACAGTTCCATCGTCGATATAAAGCCATGGATGTTTGACAATGATTAACGTGACTGCCCTTTCACTAAATGCTGTATAAACGTGTGAACTCATTAATATTGTCTTACACCCATCAAGTTCATGGGGACCGAAAATTTCGTTGGTCCTACTGTTTTAAATTTAATCTAACTCGGCACGTAATTATGTTTTTTTTTACATATAGAATTTTAACTGTAAACTTTACCTAACTAAATGTTATAAGAATGTAAATAGGAATCTAAAAGTGTTTTTAACATGAAATTTACTGATTAAATGTATGTCCTTGTTTTTTACCTTTCAAGATCACATAAAATGTATGATTGACATCATTTAAGTGTTCAGAGTAGAATGAAATAAAAAGTGTAGTTGAAGCTATACATTCAGTTACCTCAACATATGATTGAATAGTGTGTTCAGCATTATGCCCAGCGGCAGCTAACGATAATTAAGTACCCATCAGAATCGGATGGATTCTAATACAACCACAAATATATATATATATATATATATATATATATATATATATATATATATATATTTATATATATATATATATATATATATATATATATATATATATATATATATATATATATATATATATATATATATATATATATATATATATATATATATATATATATATATAACGTTAGCGTTAGTAGATTATTTTAAACGCCATACAACAAAGAAAAGAAATATATCAAAGTAATTAAATTAAACAAGTAAACAACAATTAAAAATAAAATTTAAAAATAATAATTTAAAAAATTTGAAAATTTAAAATCAAATTACGTAACTAGTTAATAAAAATTACACAACAAGTAAACAAACAAATCAAATTCATTAAAATCAAACAAATAATCAAATTACGTAATAAAAATTAATTAAAATTTTAAAAATTCATTAAAACTAATGAAAAAACTCATTAAAATTACGTAACTAGGTCAATGATTACGTCACAAGGTCACTGATTACTTCACAAGGTCACTGATTACGTCACAAGGTCACCGGTGGTGACCCACCCTCACCCTCCGCATCCCCCAGGTGGGGGAGTATTTTACTATATCTCGTTGTCCCTCCGGCTCCTCACCCTCACCATATTTTACTATATAACATGTTTAACCCTCACCATCCACCTCCCCCAGGTGGGGGGGAGTATTTTACTATATGTCGGTGTACCTCAACCTCCCCCAGGGAGTATTTTACTATATCTCATTGTCCCTCCTCACCATCCACCTCCCACAGGTGGGGGAGTATTTTGCTATATGTCATTGTCCCGCCGCATCCCCCAGGCAGGGAGTATTTTCCTATATAACCTATGTTCACCCTCACCCTCACCCTCACCATCCCCCTCACCCCGCGCCTTCGCTCCAAAAGTGACCTAATATACTACTTATATATATATATATATATATATATATATATATATATATATATATATATATATATATATATATATATATATATATAATTCTTGCACTTCATTTGTTATAATATTTTTATTTCAGATTTTGTTTAAAATTACAAAACTTAAAAAAATATCTCTTAATTAATAACAATAACAACCTTGACCACCGAGAGCAAAAGTATCTTTTTAACACACAAAAATAACTAAAATATGAGCTTCCACTTGTTATTACAGTTACAGATATTCCTAACCCAATTAGCACTGACATCATGTAAGTAAAGTTTTGAAGCTAATATTAAGAGTAAGGGTAAGGTTGTTTTTTTTTACTTTTTAAAAAATATACATTTGCAATTGAGGATACACGTTTTTGAAGTTATTACATTAGTCAGGCATTAAATTTACTCGCCCACATGCACGCGCACTGGAACAACGCGGTCGAATGGTAGAGCGCACGACTGCTAATCTGAAGTTCTCGAGAATAGATACTTGGCTTGACCACTCAGGACGTACATAAGTTCTCCTAGCTCTAACGTAGGCTGGCTCATGTGAGGAAAAGTAAAGTCAACATAGCGCTAACTACAGTTTGCCTTCATGTGCTGAAGTAAATGTAACAGGCGAACTCTACTTTACCTGCAGCATGGACCTTAATTTTTTTAAATGTATTTTTCACGTGCTCAGGCGTACACACCTGCTTGTTGACAACATGCCCCTTAACTATCTAACCAGTATATCATTCAACATTTGGTCTGCCGTTCACAGGTTTGTCCGATCCAGTATTGTCTTCACCGTATGCACTGCTTGAGGAGGGAAAGAATGCCACCATTTCTTGTACATTATCGTCTGCTCAGCTTTTGGTACCAGATTACCCTCTAGTCTGGAGCAGAGTTAACGGTCTTCCCAACGGTTCAGCTATCCAAAACTACCCATTTGACGGTAACACAAATGTACGTTTTATTATATTGCCTATTTTTGTTTGTAAGATATTGTACTATGATCATTGTTTAAATAGCCTGCTGTTTTCATTTTGATACGCAATTGAAATCACCCAGGGCAACACAATATCCAGATATACACAGTGACCAATTAAAAAGGATGTTCATTAACATTTGCTCTCATGGAAATTAGTGAAATAGTAAAGTATGGACAAAATGGGACTGCGACAAATTCCCGAAAACATTCGGCAAGCATCTTTCGGGAAAACGACCTGCTCCGTTACAAATTATAGATCTGGTAGAAAACATGCAATTACAATGACTAATACATTTTTTTTAATTCTTTAAGTTTAGCAATAAAATCGTTCGTAGTTTATTAAGTCTTAAACATATAACTTATCGACCAAATCTACAACAATTTAATTTTTTGGAAGAAAAGTGTGTTCCATTTTTTTTACAAACTTTTATTAACTCACTTCCTCTGCCGTCAGTCGTACGTCTGTCGTCAGTTTGTCCTTAGTCTGTCTAAATCGAAACGCCCGAGCGAAATTGCAGGCACTTCTAACTGACAGATACGATTCGTATTGGTAGGTGGGTCAATACATAAAGACAATGCAATATGACATTAAATTTGACTTAATTGATTGCCTGGTTAATTTTTTTATGAATTAATTAACATTTTGTCCAAATTAGTAGGCAGTCTCATCAAATTATTCCGCGCTATTAGACACGCGTCATAAAGTTCAATAGGGCGTCATCATATTCAATAGTTGTGCAATGGTTTTTTAGTCATGTAACTCTACTGTAAATCAAACATGTGAAGTAGGTTACTCAAAATGTTTTCATAAAAAACGTTTTTTTTATACACGTTTTCATAAAAAACGTTTTTTTTTATACACTGCTACTTAAATAAGTATAAACAAAAGCGTAGGTCTCTTCCTAAATATTAGTAAAGGTGTCCAATAGATACTAAAGTGACCCATGGATATCTATTGTAAATTTAAAAAATTTAAAGTACTGAAAAACAATCATAAAGTACGTTTTAATAACAAGCTTTTATGTAATAATGCACTAAAAAGTATTAACATAAATTATACACTACTTTTTGAATAACTATAAAGAAATGCGTGGGTCTCTTCCTAGATATAATTAATGGTATCCAATAGGTTCTAAAGTGACACACGCTTTTCTTTATACTAGTGTATAATTTATTTTACTACTTTTTAGTGCATTATTATTAAACCGTTTTTTATGATTTAGAAAAAATATGTTTATTGCATTTAACATGTTTTAATTGTGTCAACCTACTTCATGGATGATTTCTACCGATTTGTATAATTCTTGATACGTACAGCAAGATACAATGACATGCATATGGCACCATTAGCTTTTTAAACAATGTTTCTCTGAATACAACTTTTCTATATAAAGTTGCAATAATATAGTTTTCTTTCATATTGCTTCACAATACTGAAAATCTAAAAAAAATTAAAATAGTGAGGTAATGAACCTTCATGACTTAAAAAAAAAATCTGTATTGGACTATATGAACTACCTTAATCGAAAAAGCCTAATGTATTGTCAATTGCGCTAATCCTTCATTCCATTACAAAATAAATTCACCTTAGCCTGTGATATCCTCAAACATGAAGGCTTATATTAACAATTATTTTTAATGTTCTAGACATATCGGACTGAGTTAACCTTTGTTCCTGGAGGATCTGACAATGATGTTCCTTTATTTTGTACGGCAAGTGACGGCTTTAGTTCAAAGACAAGCTCGATCACAATTAGCGTCATTTGTAAGTAGTCTACACTTTACAGATCATTATTGATTGTAAGTCAGTCAGTAAGTGAGTAAGTCAGTCAGTCAGTAAATCAGTAAGTCAGTAAGTCAGTCAGTCAGTCAGACGGTAAGTCAGTCAATCGGTCGGTCGGTCGGTCGGTCAGATGGTCAGTCGGTCGGTCGGTCAGTAAGTCAGTAAGTGATTAAGTCAGTAAGTCAGTAAGTAAGTCAGTAAGTGAGTAAGTGAGTAAGTGAGTAAGTCAGTAAGTCAGTAAGTCAGTAAGTCAGTAAGCCAGTAAGTCAGTAAGTCAGTTGGTCAGTCAGTTAGTTATTGAGTATTTCAGTGAATTAGTAAATTATGAGTCAGCAAGTCAGTTAAAGAGTCAGTCAACTAGTCAGTGAGTTTGTGAATCAATGAGTCATTGAGTGATTGATTGAGTCAGTGAGTCAGGGAGTCAGGGTGACAGTTAGTCAGGGAGTCAGTGAATCAGTGAGTGAGGGAATCTGTGTATGTGTGTGAGTGTGTGTGTGTGCGTGTGTGTGTGCACACATTTTTAAGTATAATATAGCAGTATAGACTATCCGTGTTACAGATATCTTCAAACCACCATAAAATTTCTGTATATTTTGTAAATAGTGGTGCCGTATACTCCAAACATCACCGGAAACCTTACGGTCAGAGCTGGAGTTACGGACAGCTGGACGTGTGTTGTAGATGGTGCCAGCTACATCCCACCCGGTGTCTACTGGAGGTAAGCCTGTTTGCAGCATTATTGAATTCAAATAATAATTAACTACACATTTAACAGCTAGATATAAATAAAAATTCAAGATTTTTTTATATCTGCTTTAAGAATGAGTTTTTTACACTAATTTACAGCAAGTTCAAGCACATAATTTAATTAACACTTCTAGAGAAACATTGTAGCTAAATAGTGAAAACAGAAGATGGTAAAATGGCGTAAGGAACGGTTGAGTGGATGGGAGGATGGACGGATTAATTGATGGGTTGGCATGTGGGTGTGTATATGTATGGATACTAGCCTTATATAACCTTTGATGCTGACCGAAATATTGAGCGTGTGTCTTCTCTTTGCACCAGAGATGGTGATGGACTCAGCCTGACCCAGGGAGTAAGTAAACATACGAATATCATCGTTAAGAACAACAACAACTACGTATACAAAGTCACAAACGTCTACACGGCAGCGCTTCCAGCCCAGGACCCCTACGTACTTACGTGCTACGTCGTCCATCAATTGGACAACTACTACCACATCATGAAACAATCGACAATAACAATACGCGTCATTGTCAACGGTAAGTAGAACAATAGATTTGGTGATTTTACTATACCCGACTTAATCCATAGTTTTGGTAGCAACGGTCACTAGAAGGGTGGCAAATAGGCTGTGTGTGATAAACATGTCATAGAGACTAGCATTGTGTACTCAATATACCTCTCACAAAGGAGAACTGACAAAGACCTTTATAGTGAAGTTTGGTGTGAGATTGTGATGCATGCTCTCGTCAATCAAATTCCTGTTGGTAATTGACTGGATCATAAAAAAATACTACGGGTCACATAATGAAATACTAACAAATTACAGTCAAAATATTACAACGAGAAATAACCTTAAAGAACTGCATTGATAGGTCACAGGATATTTTTAAAAATTAAATCAAATGTGATTATGATCGTTCTCCTGCTTACAGTCTCTTCTTCCGACCGTCTCTTAACAAAGAGCATTTACTTTTATAAAAGCAGATCAAATGTTATCTGATTGTCATTTTATCTGACCCTTTACTAACAGCAGTTAATGTTCCGTGCGGCCGTTTTACTGATAGTCATTTCACCTTTTGTCATTTTGTTCCTGTATTTATTTATATATATATATTTTGTTTGATTATAAAAAAACTGAATAATACTCAATTCATACTAGCTAGGTTTTAGTAGAGCTATTTGCAGTTTCATTTTAACTACATATAGGCCTACTAAGTTTAACGTTTAACTTATTAGTTACGCTATACATACTATTAAACTGTTTTACGGCATTTCAAGTATCTATGACGCTTTTACTATTTCGTACGCTTTTCTAATAACTTAGTTATACGAAATAGTTATCTAAAAAGGTTTGGGTAAATTTTACTGAATTATTTAAGTTCCTAAATAGATTAGAGCAAAATTTCTTTTGGTGTTTTTATTATAACTCAATTAAATGCATATATTTGCGATGAAAATTTTCAAATTAGGAAATAATATTTATATCTTAATCTAACATACTATCAATTGGAAAAACATAGTCAAATGTTTTCTGTCAATATTTTCATAAATGTAAGTATTATGAGAACATATATTAATAATATGATGAGAAAGTGGTGGTCGGGAGTTCGTGTCACTTTGTGATTATCTCTATGAAGTTAGTACTTTTGCAAGACAGTTTCTTCGCACATAATGCTGGCATACTTATGTAGAGACTTATTATTAAAAAGCATATAAAATACCCAATTATCACTCAGAAAATAAATCAATGAAATGTAATTAGTTTTCAGCACATTGTTAGTTGCTACAGTTAAATTCACATTAGAAATGTATTATATCTATCGTTTACTTGATGGATTTGTTGAAGTAGTTAATTATTTAAATAATAACATATATTATTTTAGACTAATATAAAATAATAATATTTTAATTTTTTTCAAACTAAAAATAATAATAACGTTAAATTCAAAATAAAATGTCAATTTTAAAAAGAAACTTAGCTACGTAGGGCCTATGTATTTATATTTCAGTTTTTAACGTAGTTTGATATTACAAAATTGTAATAATATCCCACACTATTATGCACGTTTTGTTTAGCGTTCTCTTGATGTGCAATTATTTTTTCTACGAGATTCTATTCTATTATAAAATGTTTAAGTAATTAAAAATGGATTAAAAATATTGTCTATATCCCGAGTTGCCATCCCCCATAGTGTTATATAAGAATATTCGAGAAAGTTTAGAGGAGATCAAACCCGTTATATTTCTATCATTTTACATTATAAAATCACAATGGATTTTGGCCCCTAATCAATGCTATAAAGAATCAAAAGTTGTTTTAATTATATAGCGGCCTCTCGCGCGATGGACAAAGATTTATTTTCAAAACAATTTTGCCGACAACAGCGTGTGTTTGATAGTATGAAAAAGAGGACTCGGGATGGTGTCTATAGAACAAAGATAATCAAACCGCAGCTACAGTATTCTTTTTACAAAAAAAAAACAATCAAGTAAAAAATGTAAAAAAATTATTTTTCTGAACTATAAAAAATGAATTATGGTCGGCTGTGGGCCCCTAAACTACCTGCCCCCCCCCCCTCCAGCAATGTGGGGTCTGGCGGCACTGTAGTTCCACCCCTGTGCTATTAACACTATTTTTTTCTTCAGCTCCAACTGGTAATCGATTGCCCCACGCCGAAATAAAAACCAAAGTCATGTTTAAATTTCCTGTTTAACGTTTCGGATCACCTTGCCCCTTACAAACCTCAACTTGACAGCAATTCGATGCTGTAACTTAATATTTTGACCGAAATAAATGATGGGACGAAAATGTACCTTCACAATATGAATCTGACGCTAACACTAGATTTTAGAGGGCTACGTATTATATTGTAAATGTTTCAAAAATATATTGTCACTTATAGTGAAAAGTATGTAACCTCTTTGTAGTCAGATGCACATACAATGCCGCGAGACCCCTCAACGTGAGAGGACCCTGCAGTTTAGGGGGACGAATTTTGACCAAAAAAATGAATTTTTTTTTGTCAGAAATAATGTTTTCCGTTCACCTTGATAATGGTTTATAAAAATAAACATATCTTCTATAGCAATGACTGTTTTACATTATTTAACAAACACTTTTGCGTAGAAAAGTATTTTTTTTTTTAAATCTACATGAGCTGTAATTTAAAAAATAGGCAAACGTTCACATTACTTCCATGGCTTATTGCCCGTCTTTAAATAGTCTAATAGGAGTGCTGACCACGCTTTACTTTCATGTGCTGAAGTGAATGTAACAGCTCAGCTATATTTCACCTGCAGCATGAAACTTATAGTTGAAAACTAAACTTTTTACATGCACACGCATATTGACATAAAAATATGCACCTTCACTCTCACAACAGAATATCATGCATTATATCGTCTGCATCTTATAGGTGTGTCCGATCTGATCGTGTCTTCACCGTATGAACTGCTTGAGGAAGGAAAGAATGCCACCATTACATGTACATTATGGTCTGCTCAGCTTTCGGCACCAAATTACCCTCTAGCCTGGAGCAGAGTTAACGGACTTCCCAACGGTTCAATTATCCACAACTACCCATTTTACAGTGCAACGAAGGTATGTAATATTATTATTCGTATTTTTGTTTGTACAATATTCTACTAAGATCGTTGTTGAAATAGCCTACTGTTCACATTTTAATTCGCCACTGAACCCCCCCCCCCCCCACTAAGGTGATACATTATCCAGATATACACCGTGACCAATAAAAATTATTAAAAATGATGTTAATTTTTATTTGGTCGAAGTGAAATTTGAAAGTGTACAAAATGGGTCTACGACTAATTCCCAAAGACAGTCCGGTAGTTGTCGATTCGGAAAATCGGCCTTCGGGCAATCTTCTTTCGGGAAAACGTCCGGCTTCCTTAAAATATATAGATCTGGAAACAAGCATGCAAATACAGGAAAAAAAATAAAATTTAAAAAACAATCTTTAAATTTAAAAGTACAATCATTGTTGGTTATAAAGAGTTAAACAAATCGACCAAAGCTTTAACTATTTAATATTTTGGAAGAAAAGTGTGTTCTATGTTTGGTTGTTTTTTAAATTTCATTTATATGCTTATCAATAACAGCATTAAAACAATGGTCGATTAAATTTATGTTAATTAACAACAGTTTAAACACCTGATGTATTTTCCATTACGCGAATCCTTCATTCCAATGTAAAATAAATTCACCTTAGCCTGTGATACCCCTAAACATGAAGGCTTATATTAACAATTATTTTAAATATTCTAGACATATCGGACTGAGTTAACCTTTGTTCCTGTAGGATCTGACAATGATGTTCCTATTTCTTGTACAGCAAGTGACGGCTTTAGTACAAATACAGAATTCTTCACTGTTAGTGTCATTTGTAAGTAGTCTAAACTTTACAGCTCATTATTGATTGTAAGTCAGTCAGTAAGTGAGTAAGTGTGTAAGTGAGTAAGTGAGTAAGTGAGTAAGTCAGTAAGTCAGTAAGTGAGTAAGTTAGTAAGTGAGTAAGTGAGTAAGTCAGTAAGTCAGTAAGTCAGTAAGTCAGTAAGTCAGTAAGTCAGTAAGTCAGTAAGTCAGTAAGTCAGTAAGTCAGTAAGTCAGTAAGTCAGTAAGTCAGTAAGTCAGTAAGTCAGTAAGTCAGTAAGTCAGTAAGTCAGTAAGTCAGTAAGTCAGTAAGTCAGTAAGTCAGTAAGTCAGTAAGTCAGTAAGTCAGTAAGTCAGTAAGTCAGTAAGTCAGTAAGTCAGTAAGTCAGAAAGTCAGTAAGTCATTAAGTCAGTAAGTCAGTAAGTCAGTAAGTCAGTAAGTCAGTAAGTCAGTAAGTCAGTAAGCTAGTAAGTCAGTTATTCATTTATTCATTTATTCAGTTATTCAGATATTCAGTTATTCAGTTATTCAAATATTCAGTTATTCGGTTATTCAGTTATTCAGTTATTCAGTTATTCAGTTATTCAGTTATTCAGTTATTCAATTATTCCGTTATGCAGTTATTCAGTTATTCAGTTATTCAGTTATTCAGTTATTCAGTTATTCAGTTAGTCTGTTAGTCAGTTAGTCAGTTAGTCAGTTAGTCAGTTAGTCAGTTAGTCCGTTAGTCCGTTAGTTCGTTAGTCATTCATCCAGTCAGTTAGCCTCTCAGTTAGTTATTGAGTAGTTTAGTGAGTTAGCGAGTCAGTTGAAGAGTCAGTGAGTTTGTGATTAAGTGAGTCATTGAGTGTTTGAGTCAGCGAGTCAGTGAGTTAGTAAGTCAGTGAGTCAAGAAGACAGTGTGTGTGTGTGTGTGTGCGTGTGTGTATGCAAAGATTCTTAAGTATAATATAGCAGAACAGAGTATCGGTGTTTACGTATATTTCAACGACCATAAAATTTCTGTATATTTTGTCAACAGTGGCGCCGTATACTCCAAACATCACCGGAAACCTTACGGTCAGAGCTGGAGTTACGGACAGCTGGACGTGTGTTGTAGACGGTGCCAGCCATTTCCCACCCGGTGTCTACTGGAGGTAAGCCTGTTTGCAGCATTATTGAATTTAAAAATAATAAATTACACTTTTAATAGTTAGACATAAATAAAAATTCATGAATTTTTTACATCTGCTTTAAGAATGAGATTTTTACACTAATTTACAGCAAGTACAAACACATAATTTAATTAACACTTTTAGAAAAACTTCGTCTAAAATCTTTTGTAACTAAGTACTGAAAAAAAAACCCGGTAAAATGGCGTTAGGGACGGTCGGAAGGATGGGTTGATGGACGGATTAATTGATGGGTTGGTGTGTGGGTGTGTAAATGTATGGATACTAGCCATATATGACCTTTGATGCTGACCGAAATATTGAGCTTGTGTCTTCTCTTTGCACCAGAAATGCTGATGGACTCAGCCTGACCCAGGGAGTGAGTAAAAATACAAAAATCTACCTTAAGAACAACAACAACTACGTATACAAAGTCACGAGCGTCTACACTGCAGCGCTGCCAGCCCAGGACCCCTACGTACTTACGTGCTACGTCGTCCATCAGATGGACAGCTACTACAACATCATGAAACAAACGTCAATAACAATACATGTCATTAGTAAGTAGAACAATGGATTTGGTGATTTTACTATACCCGACTTAATCCATGGTTTCGGTAGCAACGGTCACTAGAAGGGTGGCAAATAGGCTGTGTGTGATAAACATGTCATAGAGACTAGCATTGTGTACTCGATCTACCTCTCACAAAGGAGAACTGACAAAGACCTTTATAGTGAAGTTTGGTGTGAGATTGTGATGCATGCTCTCGTCAATCAAATTCCTGTTGGTAATTGACTGGATCATAAAAAAATACTACGGGTCACATAATGAAATACTAACAAATTACAGTCAAAATATTACAACGAGAAATAACCTGAAAGAACTGCATTGATAGGTAACAGGATATTTTTAAAAATTAAATCAAATGTGATTATGATCGTTCTCCTGCTTACAGTCTCTTCTTCCGACCGTCTCTTAACAAAGAGCATTTACTTTTATAAAAGCAGATCAAATGTTATCTGATTGTCATTTTATCTGACCCTTTAGTAACAGCGGTTAATGTCACGTGAGGCCGTTTTACTGATAGTCATTTCACCTTTTGTCATTTTGTTCCTTTATTTATTTATATATATATTTTGTTTGATTATAAGAAACTGAATAATACACAATTCATACTAGCTAGGTTTTAGTAGAGCCATTTGCAGTTTCATTTTAACTACATATGGGCCTAATAAGTTTAACGTTTAACTTATTAGTTACGCTATGCATACTATTAAACTGTTTTACAGCATTTGAAGTATCTATGACGATTTTACTATTTCGTAAGCTTTTCTAATAACTTAATTATACGAAATAGTTTCCAAAAAAGGTTTGGGTAAATTTTACCGAATTATTTAAGGCCCTAAATAGATTAGAGCAAAATTTCTTCTGGTGTTTTTATTATAACTCAATTAAATGCACTTATTTGCGATGAAAAGTTTCAAATTAGGAAATAATGTTTATATCTTAATCTAACATACTATCAATCGGAAAAACATAGTCAAATGTTTTCTGTAAATATTTTCATAAATGTAAGTATTATGAGAACATATATTAATAATATAATGAGAAAGTGGTGGTCGGGAGTTCGTGTCACTTTGTGATTATCTCTATGAAGTTAGCACTTTTGCAAGACAGTTTCTTCGCACATAATGCTGGCATACTTATGTAGAGACTTATTATTAAAAAACATATAAAATACTCAATTATTACTTAGAAAATAAATCAATGCAATGTAATTAGTTTTCAGCACATTGTTAGTTGTTACAGTTAAATGCACATTAGAAATGTATTAATTGGATCAATTCGTTTACTTGATGGATTTGTTGAAGTAGTTAATTATTTAAATAATAACATTTATTATTTTAGACTAATATAAAATAATAATATTTTAATTTTTTTCAAACTAAAAATAATAATAACGTTAAATTCAAAATAAAATGTCAATTTTAACAGAAACTTAGCTACGTAGGGCATATGTATTTTTATTTCAGTTTAACGTAGTTTGATATTACAAAATTGTAATAATATCCCACACTATTATGCACGTTTTGTTTGGCGTTCACTTGATGTGCAATTATTTTTTCTACGAGATTCTATTCTATTATAAAATGTTTAAGTAATTAAAATGGATTAAAAATATTGTCTATATCCCGAGTTGCCATCCCCCATAGTGTTATATAAGAATATTCGAGAAAGTTTAGGGGAGATCAAACCCGTTATATTTCTATCATTTTACATTATAAAATCACAATGGATTTTGGCCCCTAATCAATGCTATAAAGAATCAAAAGTTGTCTTAATTATATAGCGGCCTCTCGCGCGATGGACAATGATTTATTTTCAAAACAGTTTTGCCGACAACAGAGTGTGTTTGATTGTATGAAAAAGAGGACTCGGGATGGTGTCTATAGAACAAAGATAATCAAACCGCAGCTACAGTATTCTTTTTACAAAAAAAAACAACAATCAAGTAAAAAATGCAAAAAAAATATTTTTCTGAACTATAAAAAATGAATTATGGTCGGCTGTGGGCCCCTAAACTACCTGCCCCCCCCCCCCCTCCAGCAATGTGGGGTCTGGCGGCACTGTAGTTCAACCCCTGTGCTATTAACTCTATTTTTTTTTCTTCAGCTCCAACTGGTAATCAATTGCCCCATGCAAAAATAAAAACCAAAGTCATGTTTAAATTTCCTGTTTAACGTTTCGGATCGCCTTGCCCCTTACAAACCTCAACTTGACAGCAATTCGATGCTGTAACTTAATATTTTGACCGAAATAAATGATGGGACGAAAATGTACCTTCACAATATGAATCTGACGCTAACACTAGATTTTAGAGGGCTACATATTATATTGTAAATGTTTCAAAAATATTTTGTCACATATAGTGACAAGTATGTAACCTCTTTGTAGTCAGATGCACATACAATGCCGCGAGACCCCTCAACGTGAGAGGACCCATGCAGTTTAGGGGGACGAATTTCGACAAAAAAAATGAATTTTTTTTTTGGTCAGAAATAATGTTTTCCGTTCACGTAGATAATGGTTTATAAAAATAAACATATCTTCTATAGCAGTGATTGTTTTACAGTAACTAACACACACTTTTGCGTAGAAAAGTATTTTTTTAAATCTACATGAGCTGTAATTTAAAAAATAGGCAAACGTTCACATTACTTCCATGGCTTATTGCCCGTCTTTAAATAGTCTAATAGGAGTGCTAACCACGCTTTACTTTCATGTGCTGAAGTGAATGTAACAGCTCAGCTATATTTCACCTGCAGCATGAAACTTATAGTTGAAAACTAAACTTTTTACATGCACACGCATATTGACATAAAAATATGCACCTTTACTCTCACAACAGAATATCATGCATTATATCGTCTGCTTCTTATAGGTGTGTCCGATCCGATAGTGTCTTCACCGTATGCACTGCTTGAGGAAGGAAAGAATGCCACCATTACATGTACATTATCGTCTGCTCAGCTTTCGGCACCAAATTACCCTCTAGTCTGGAGCAGAGTTAACGGTCTTCCCAACGGTTCAGCTATCCAAAACTACCCATTTGACAGTGCAACGAAGGTACGTACTATTATTATTCGTATTTTTGTTTGTAAAATAGTGTACTAAGATCGTTGTTGCAATAGCCTACTGTTCACATTTTAATTCGCCACTGAACCCCCCCCCCCAAGGTGATACATTATCCAGATATACACCGTGACCAATACAAATTATTAAAAATGATGTTAATTTTTATTTGGTCGAAGTGAAATTTGAAAGTGTACAAAATGGGTCTACGACTAATTCCCAAAGACAGTCCGGTAGTTGTCGATTCGGAAAATCGGCCTTCGGGCAAACTTCTTTCGGGAAAACGTCCGGCTTCCTTAAAATATATAGATCTGGAAACAAGCATGCAAATACAGGAAAAAAAATATTTAAAAAACAATCTTTAAATTTAAAAGTACAATCATTGTTGGTTATAAAGAGTTAAACAAATCGACCAAAGCTTTAACTATTTAATATTTTGGAAGAAAAGTGCGTTCTATGTTTGGTTGTTTTTTAAATTGCATTTATATGCTTATCAATAACAGCATTAAAACAATGGTCGATTAAATGTATGTTAATTAACAACAGTTTAAACACCTGATGTATTTTCCATTACGCGAATCCTTCATTCCAATGTAAAATAAATTCACCTTAGCCTCTGATATCCCTAAACATGAAGGCTTATATTAACAATTATTTTAAATGTTCTAGACATATCGGAGTGAGTTAACCTTTGTTCCTGGAGGATCTGACAATGATGTTCCTATTTCTTGTACGGCAAGTGACGGCTTTAGTACAAAGACACGCTCGACCACAGTTAGCGTCATTTGTAAGTAGTCTAGACTTTACAGCTCATTATTGATTGTAAGTCAGTCAGTCAGTCAGACGGTCAGTCAGACGGTCAGTCAGTCCGTCAGTAGGTCGGTCGATCGGTCAGTACGTGAGTCAGTCAGTTAGTTATTGAGTACTTCAGTGAATCAGTAAATCAGTGAGTCAGCTAGTCAGTTAAAGAGTAAGTCAACGAGTCAGTGAGTTTTTAAATCAGTGAGTTATTGAGTGATTGTGTCATTGAGTCAGTGAGTCAGGGTGTCAGTGAGTCAGTGGGTCAGTGAGTAATTGTATGTGTATTCGTGTGTGTGCGTGTGTGTGCACACATTGATAAGTATAAAATAGCAGTACAGACTATCCGTGTTTACAGATATCTTCAAACGACCATAACGTTTCTGTATATTTTGTAAACAGTGGCGCCGTATACTCCAAACATCACCGGTAACCTTACGGTCAGAGCTGGAGTTACGGACAGCTGGACGTGTGTTGTAGATGGTGGCAGTTACATCCCACCGACTGTTTATTGGAGGTAAGCCTGTTTGCAGCAATATTGAATTCAAATGATAATAAATTATACTTTAATCAGTTAGATTTGAATAGACTATATAAATATGTATGCAGTGTATTTTGATTCGTTGATAAAAATAAGTACATAACAACATGTTTTCATCTATACAGATCTATCTATCTATATATATAAAAGCAATGTATGCGTGTGTGTGTGTCTGTCTGTCTATCTGTGTGTCTTTTATGCATTACCACACCTCTTATCACATCGCCGTCGAACTTTGGGAAGTTGTTAAGAATATTCCTGGGGAGGTTTCTGCGGAAAAAAATTCAAATTCGCAGGGTTGGTGCCCCGGCAGGGCGCGATTTGTTTTTCTCTATATACGGTATATAAAAATAAAAGTCGATTTTGGTTTGACACCATTATTTCCGATAGCCATGAGACTTTAGGGAGATGATAAGAACACTACCTGGAAGGATTCTGCAAAAAAAATTTTTTTTTAATTTCGCAAGGGCGGCGACGCGGAAGTGTGCGATTTTTCTATATGTACGGTATATACAAATAAAACACGATTGCGGTTCGACACAGTTTATCCGGGTGCCATAAAACTTTAGGGAGTTGATGAATACTCCCGATAAGATTTCAGGGGTATGAGAGGGGTGGGGCTGGGTGGGTGGTAGTGGGAGGGGGGATTTAATTTTGCATGGGCGGCCCCCGGCAGGATGCGATTTGGCGCCCTGTTCTTTACCGTGAGTGCTATGGCGACTACTTTGGGTCTAAACCGTGTGATAGACAAAGGATAGGATGTGGCGTTACAAACGCTCACTAAATTGAATCAGGCGAGTCCGCCGGCGCCCTGGTAGGGCGCGATCTGGCTGCAAACAAAAATGTCAGTTTCGGCCCCCAAAGGCTCACATGGGCCGCTGAGGGCCATGTAATACTTTTTATTGTAATAATCAGAAAAACTAACCAAGGTTAGATTATTAACAGGGGTGTTTATGTTTGTCCGTAAAAAATCAAAACAGTTTCGTCACTTTGTGAATGATGCGATTAGCATCTATTTTTAGACAATCAATTAGAAATTGAGATCGAGCATCTAATAATAGACTATTAGTAACGCTACCATATTGCATCAGTCACACTGATGTTTAAAACACGTCAAATACTTTTTTACGTGCTAAAGAAAATAACCCTTTTCATTTGTGTCACTTTTGCGATTGACGCAATCTGCATCATTGTTAACAGGATGCTATTTGGCACAATGGCGCCTGTTAGTTTTTATGGAGCCAGGGGCCGTACGTGGCGACTATGCGGTAGTGTAATCAAGGGGGGGGGGTGCTCCTGAGAGCGCCCCTCTACGTCCCTGACACATGGGTGGTCACCGGAGTGTGTTCTACCTGATTATTTCGGTGCGTGATTAATGTACACATAAGGTTTTCACGCGGTAGTGTAGGTAAACCCGTGTCCCGGTATTTATGATCCAAGCGCAGGCATTGTTTACATTTAAATAACTCACTTTTAGAAAACAAGGTTACGCGTCTAAGAATATAGGATTGGTAACGTATGGATGAAACCCTTCTTCTATCCCAGCGGCAACGCGGGGGGACGGGTACGCTAATGTGTTTATATATATATATATATATATATATATATATATATATATATATATATATATATATATATATATATATATATATATATATATATATATATATATATATATATATATATATATAAAGCAATGTATGTATGTCTGTCTGTCTGTCTGTTTGTCTTTTATGCATTACTGTACCTTTCATCTGATCGCCATGAAACTTTGGGAAGTTTTTGAGAATACTCCTGGGGTGGTTTCTGTGGGGAAAAAATTCAAATTCGCAGGGTCGGCACAACTGGAGGGTGCGATTTTTTTTTTTCTCTATATAGGGTACATAAAAATAAAAGTCGATTGCGGTTTCACGCCGTTCATCCGATCGCCATCAAACTGTGGGGAGTTAATTAGAACACTCAAGGTGTAAAATTTTTAGTAGTTGATGAATATTCCCGATAAGGTTTCATGGGTGGGGGTGAGGGGAGGGGGATTCAATTTTTCTCGGCGTCCCTCGGCAGGGTGCGATATGGCGCTCTGGTCTTTCCCGTGAGCTCTTTGGCGAATACGTTCGTTCTAAACAGACTTCGACAGACTTTCGACAGACTTCCTTCTATTCCCGCGGCAATGCGCGGGGACGAATACGCTAGTTACATAATAAACCGACCCACGGCTTACTTTGTAGCGATATAAATAGTTGAGTAAAAATATATTCTAAGAAATGTAATATGATAGCTTGTAAATATACACCTCATTATCTATATGGTATTTATTATTAAGTTTTTCGATGCGCAAAATTTTGGACGTCATAGTTTCCCCTCTCAAACATTTACGTTGCAATTTTTAACTTTTTTTCAAAGCCATTGCGAACACCATGCTTCAATAACAATTCAAGAATTTGTTACATCTGCTTTAAGAATGAGTTTATTCACATTAGTTTACATCTAGTACAAACACATAATTTAATTAACACTTCTAGAGATACATTGTCTCAAATATGTTGTAATTAAGTAGTGAAAAAAATAATAACTCCTGGTAAAATGGCGTAAGGGACGGTCGGGGTGATGGGTGGTTGGACGGATTAATTGATGGGTTTGTGGGTGGGTGGGTAGGTGTATGTGTAGCCTACTAGCCTTATTTGAGCTGAACCAAATTTTAATATTGTGTCTTTTCTTTGCACCAGTAATGGTGATGGACTCAGCCTGACCCAGGGAGTGAGTAAAATTACGAATATCATCGTTAAAAACAACAACAACTACGTTTACAAAGTCACGAGCGTCTACACGGCTGCGCTGCCAGCCCAGGACCCCTACGTACTTACGTGCTACGTCGTCCATCAGATGGACAGCTACTACAACATCATGAAACAATCGTCAATAACAATACATGTCATTAGTAACAGTAAGTAGAACAATGAATTGGTTCGGGATGATTTTACTATGCGAAACTAATCCATGGTTTTTGGTAGAAACGTTAAAGGAAAGGGTGGGGAATAGGCTGTGTATACTAAACACGTCATAGTGTAATAGAGACGAGCATTGTGTACTCGATCTATTCGTCACAAAAGAGAATTAGCAAAGACCTTTATAGTGAAGTTTGGTGTGAGATTTTGATGCATGCTCTCGTTAATCAAATGCCTCTTAGTAATTGACTGGATCATGCAAAAGAAAAGCTGCGGGTCACGAAGTCAAATATTAACAAAATAAAATTGAAATATAACAAGAAATATCCTTGACGAAATGCATTCAACAATCACCGGATAATATCCTAATTTAAAAAAAAAATGTGCTTATGATCGATCTCCTGCTTAGAGCCTTTTTTTCATACCATCTCTAGCAACGTGCACTTACTTTATAAAAGGAGATCTTTTTTTTTTCATAGTCAATTTTGGCTGACCCTTTAGTAATAGCGGTTAATGTCACGAGTGGCCGTTTAACTTATAGTCACTTCAATTTTTTTACATTTTGTTGTTATTTACATTTATTTTTATTTTTCCTTTTGCTTATAAAAAATACATCATTCATACTCATGTTTGTTTACGGTCAACACAATTTTTAAATGTTTGTATATGTTGTTTTTTTTTTTAAATTTTTTTCTTGAATTTTTGTTTGTTTGGATACATGAGAAAATCTGCACTAAGTGTAGAGCTGTAAAATAAGTATTTAGGTAAAGAATAATGTTCCTTTTGACCAAACTGTTAATTACACATTTATTTAAAGTAGTTAATTAATGTATTGATAAATTCATTAGTAGATAGACCACTTTATTAATAAAAGTTCAGAACAATGACTTTACTTTTAGTGACGTCACATGATTTATTTACTTTTTATAACAATAAGAGCGGCTTCCATCTAGTGGCGGAACTAGAAAAAAAGGCAACCTCGCAAAAATAAATATTCAAACACAGAATGCAATTATTGGATACTCATTTCTGGCCTGATCAGGTTTTGAAAATAAAAAGGCCTTTTTTTTCAATTCAAAGAATTTTCAGCATGTATTGTGTGTGCGTGCATTACCCCGCACTGCGGGGACTGGCGGCACTGTAGTTCCGCCCCTGCTTCCATCGAAGATTGTGTTGCCTATTCAAAAGTTTAACGCATTATAAAGCTAATTTTCTGTCGGCTAAAGCTTTAACGATACGTCCGTTTGCAATTTTTATTAGGTTCCAACACTATTATCAGTTTTGAACAGTTCTAATTTGAGTATGTAATAAATTTCTCTAGATCTAGAGATAAGCTGCTGGACGAAGGGAAAGTCAATCCTAGATCTAAAATCTAGAATCTAGGTCAAACCAAAATTAATTAGTTAAAAGTAAAATCAATTTTAAAAAACCACAATAAATTATTGAGTTTCTTTATTAAATTATGTTAGTCCTTAAATATTTGATATAAATCTTTGCTTTAAAGCTTTAATGATCATCCATTTCGAGAATACATGGGATTTATCTATGTAGGCTCTAGATCTAGAAATCTAGATCTAGAGCTACGGAAAACACTGTCAGGGGCGTAGCGAGGGGGGGGGGGGGGGCGGGGGGTGCGGACCGCACCGGGTGACACCATTTAGGGGGGTGACACCAAGGCGAAAAATAGCAAAATATATAGAGAAAAACTTGAGGGGGAGGGGGTGCAAATCGAAAGTTTGAGTGGGGGTGCAAATCGAATGTTTGACGGGGGGGGGGTGCAAATCGAAAATTTGAAAGTTTGTCCCCGGGAAGGGTCGCTACGCCTCTGGGGGGTGACACCATTAAGTGCCGCACCGGGTGACACCCGACCTCGCTACGCCACTGAACACTGTGACTTAAGCCAAACGTAGATTCTTCATCTAGATTAGATCTAGCTCTATCTAGATTTAGAATCGCTGCCAATAAATTGTCAATAATGAGTTTCTATACTAAACTATTTCAGGCCATACTTATTTTATATAAATCTTTGTTTATCTATGGAATTAGCTAATTTGGGATATAAGTTTATATGAAATTATAGGAACTGTTCGCATAACAGAAGTTTCTTACTTTGCAGACTGTAAGTAAATGATATAACTAAATCTGCATTGAATAGGAAGTGCTCAATAGCTAAGAAGATGGTGTAACAGTCACCACGCGGTGTTTTTAAAAGATATAAACGTCTGAGGCGTAACATCTTGTTGAATGTGGGGTCTGTTTTTTTTGTGACGATAAGTGACAGGTGTTATGTTATTTATGGATGACCTCCGAGACCCACAGTTATCCAAAGATAACGGTTAGTCTAGTACTAATTAAATGTTTTACACCACTTGAGGTATCTATGTTGCTTTTATTGTTTCGTTCTCTTTACAAATTACTTATTTAAACGAAATAGTTGTCTAAACAAGTTTTAGTAAATGTTTCCGTATTGCCTTAGGCCCTTAATAGATTAGAGCAAAATATAATGCATATACGTTGCGTTGAAATGTTTTCAAATTTGAATGAATTGTTAAATCTTAATCTACCATACTATCAATTAGAAAGCCTGAGACACATTTTCTATAAATAATTTTTAAAATATACGTATTATCAGAACGTACATATTTGTAATTACTAAAACTAAAACTGTAGTTTTAATAATTATTCATTTAAATAAGTATATAAGTACTATTATTTTTCATAGCGGTATGATCCTCACATCTGCAATAGTAATTAGTGTAGCATTTTACAATTATTATGTATAGCAAACTGCACTAATTAAACTAAATGTGATTTTCTATACACGGGGGGCCCAATCCGTTTAGGGAGCCCAATTTCGAACAAAAAACAATGAATTGTTTCAGAAAAAAATTTTTCGTGCACCTTGATAGCGGGTTTGAAAAGCAAACATAATTTATATTGCAGGGATTGTTCTATAGTGACTAACGCACACCGGTTCGTAGAAAAATACTTTTAAAATCAACATGAGTTGTAGTTTGAAAGATAGGCAAACGTTCACTAATCCCATGACTTCTTGCCCTTCATTAAATAGTCAAATAGGGGTGCCCATGTAGCTCCTTTAAATAGTTTTGTACTAAGTAAATTAGAATGCAATGGCTTCTCTTAAATTTTATTTGTATAAGAAAAGCACAGCTTTAAAAACGAATGTATTTGCAATTAATAATATACATACAAAAAAATCACAGAAATAAACAATGGTAGGGTTTAGTCTACCAGTTCACGACCTCCCCCCCCCACACACACAGAAAGCCCACAGTTTGGGAACCCATGCTGTATACATTTTGAGTGTGGCATTTCCTTGTTTGGTCTATTAAACGTAACGTCACTCAGTTTATTTGGCGAGTTGAATAAGATTTTCTGAGTTTCAAATTTCTGAAAAGTACACTTGTTTTCATGTTTTCATTTGTATCATCTTAACTACATTATTGCATTTATGTTTTACTGATTAAACATTTACAGAATCAACATCAAATGTGGTACCAGATAAAAAGGAAGTGAATAGTCAGAATGATTACAGCTTTTTGTATTATGTGCTTCCTATAGTTGCAGTTGTTATTGTATGTGCTGTTGCACTAGGTGTTTGCTTTAGAAAAGGTTGGTAGTTTTAAACCGTTTTAATATAAACACAGCTGAGCAAACACGACTTGTTTTTTTGTTTTTTTCTATTCCTTGCGAAATAATTTTCATGTTTTCATTTGAAAAAATTGACGACGTTTATTATTCATTTCTGTAATAATTGTAGCCTATATACTCGTGCATTCAATATCGCAACTTGTGTATTCAATTTCGCTAACATTATTTAAAATAATTAATGTAAAATAATTATTCAGTTATAGTATAGACGACGTATTTGCAGTTCAATTTACGCTGTGGATAATAAGTTTCGTTCGTGTTTTCAATGGGTTTTTTTTTTTACATGAAACCTCCATCAACTGATAATGATAATAGCAAGATGTATATAAAAAATCTATTGAATAGTTAGATAGATCAAATGTAATTTCTATATGTATACGACATGGGGAATATTAATTATTGTATTAATGTATATTAAACCCATTAATTCGGTTACAATTAACAATTTTTTATCACTTCTATTTATTTCAGCGTATCTAAAACAAGAACTAATAAAAAGAAGTGAAAAAATATCTACTACACCAAACAATGAAAGGATAACCTCTCAACCAATGGACAGTGATGGATATCTTGCCCCTAACAATGAAGATGTCGGCTATACAGTAGTTAGACATCATTCAGGAGATTGCATTCAGACTGGTGCTTCGAATCAGACATCTGTGTATGATTTATACAATATGGAAGAAGAAAACTACTACTGTACAATTAAGGACCTTGATGAGATTAAAAAAAATGCTTTTAGTGAAAGGAAACACCACAACACAAACGAACATGAAGAGAATCCAACGACTGCTGTCAACGTGTCCGAATATTCGGAATGTGAGAGTAACACAAATATTCAACTTAATATTGAGAGGCAACGTAACATGAACAGGGTTGGACAACAAGAGACTACCTTGGATGGGAATATTGATACAAATTCAAATAGAAAACTTGACACCAACATAGATGGTGGAAATCTTGACATTATCTCGGATGTACAACTAGGAATTGCCTCCACTGAAAATCTTGAAATTATGTTTGATGAAAAACCACAAAATGCACCGAAAATACAGCTTGATACTTCTAATTTAACAGAATACTTAGAACCAGCTTCTTCTTCGGAGAGAAAACTTGCCAATAACTTTCATGACAAAAGCTCTAAATTCAATTGTGTCCAGCATTATGAAACTGAATCACTACAAAATGAACCTGGAACTATTGCTAATTTGACAGAATACTTAGTACCAGTCATCTTGGAGACAACTCTTGGCTATAACTTAGATAAAACACTTGACAAAAAAACAAACACCGATAACGATTCTGTCCAACCTCATGAAATTAACGATTATCTCAATTTATATGACACAACTGAAGATACTAGTAACTTGACAGAATATTTATCACCAGCCATTTTTTCGGAGAAAAAAAACTGACAGTAAAGTGGGTGTAAAGCGTGACAAAAAAATAACCCCCGGTAACTACTTTGTCCCAAGTCATAAAGTATTGTAGCAAAACTGCAACGCTATGCCATATAGGGCTAAATAAATCTTTATCTAAAACTATATAACAAAACTGAAAACTAATTAATTGGATTAAAAATTTGATAAAACAAGAAATGTAGATGTCTATTCTGGCCCAACTCATATCAATAATAAGTAAAGTACAGAAACTAAACGACATAGCCGGGGATGACAAACGTGACACAATTCCACTGATGTGACTGTGATATTGAAGTATGTAATATATATATATATATTTGTTCTTGACATCCTTTGTAATAAGCTATTTTTTCTATAATATGGATGAGAGTATTTATCTTGAACAATTTGTCATTTTTGCCTCTTTGTCTGATTTTTCCCCACAGTTTGTTAAATTTAGATAACACAGGACATTTAAACATTGAAAATTTCAACAGATTATGTTCAGATAGAACCACTCATTTGTTGTTCTTAGTTTATACATGTCAATACATAATGTTTTATTATTACTAATTGTTTCGTTTTATAATATAATCAAATGATATATGTATAATCAAATATTTTTTAAGTGCAGACATATATTCACGTTGGGGTTGTAATATTAGTTTCTAGTAAATAATAAAATGTAACCTTATAATTTATTTTAAACATTTAAGTTAATCTCTATATTTATTATAAGCTTGTTTGTTTTGTTGTGTGTGGATGAGTAGCAAATCTTTTGGCTCAATTTCCAGCGGTTTCCAGATACACTTGAATTCGATGACAATGCGGGAATATGTAATTGTTAAACGAATGAGACATTAGATTTGTCATGAAAATGTATTTAAAAGAATACTCTGTTTATGAATTAAAGTGGAGAAATTATTTAATAAATACTAACGATTTTTCGATCAGCTATCCCTATAATTTAAACCGGTTTTTTTCAATCCTTTATGTTTTTATGCGCAGAAAGTGCAGATAATTGTCGTTTAGAGATTGCAAGCTACTGATCTAGTTTATAATGCTGATCACGGTAGGTCACATGCCAAAGAGAGAGGGATTTGAGGTTTCGTGACAATAATTTACGATGTCTGTGTTTGGTTTTGTTCGGCTCCTAAGTTAATACATTTAAAAAAGATTCACCTTGCCGAAGCACTGGGTTGCAGCTAGTATATCTAATATATGAAGTTGAATTCTATATATATGTGACCGCGGACAGCGGATCCATGATTACAAAATCATAGAGCAAAAAAATATACATTATCGCCGTAGTGTTAGGGGTCGGCCTGGTCGAGTCGGTAAAGCTTATGGTTGTAAATATTCGAAAAAAATTTCAGTTCGAACCCTCTGGGGATTTGGCGCCCTGGGCTAGACAGTGAGCACTTTCGGTTTATGTTTGAATTTAAGTTTGTGTTTATGTTTGCGTTTACTAAATACACAAGTCATAGTCCTTTAGAGTAACAGATGTTTTTCACAGAGACCAGTGCAGGGCCTGGCCTGGACGGCTAATATATATATATATATATATATATATATACAATGTCTTGTAATATATATATAGTTTACAAAACCGACTTATATAGTAGTCTTACTCATGTGTTTATTTAGACAGAGAACAACGCAATAAATTTAAACAAAGAGTAACGACGATTACTCTTGTTAGTAACAATTTTAAGCTTGGGTCTATTGTAATGGATAATCGTGAGCTGTTAGTGTCAGCCTAATGGTAAATTGTTGGCAGATTATTAGACCGTCGGATGTTTATTTTAAACGCTCGGCTTCTCATTCAAACACTACTATGTGTACTAATCAGTCATTTACAAGTAATCATGTTTTCAATTTAGTTATTGCATTTACACGAATTCGAATGTAATATTTGTGTTTGAAAAGAGAATAATTTATAATTTGCACGTGTATTGATTATATCTTTTTTGAGCTCATTTATTCATGACAAGTTTCTATCCATAATGTTATATGATTTAAAAACATACAATAAACATTAGAATTTAAATAATGCCTATTTACTTATTAAGTATTTTTTAAGTTTAAAAATATCAACAATATAATTTTTTAATAGCTGGCATTTGAAAGAAAAATACAGAAACAGACAACAAATTAGATCTTTATAATTCTATATAAATTGGTAACTCTATTAAAACATCACTTTTGTACTTTTAAACTTCTACACTATATCCGCAAACAACAGGGGAAAATGGGAGATTACAGATCTCCAGATGAAGTAGCTCTCTTATATTTTATCGGCACCCTCTCCCTGACTAATGGCTTGATGTCTTTGTTCGGAGCTATAGGCAACTTCATTTCGATTCGAACATTCGTAAAAATGGGCGCTAACGACGGCGTTACCGTTTCTTTTTTGTTGCTTTCCGTTTTCAATTTCTGTTACTTGGTTTTTGTAAAAGCTGGTACTGTGGCACATATTTTATATTTGATTGAAGAAATTTCATATTTCAGAATTTATTTCCCAATAGATCCTTACAGTATAAATACATACATCGGTAACGCGGGCGCCATGGTGTATATTATAACACTACTAATAGTCACGTACATGGCTGTTGTTAGGTGTTTGTGTGTGGCTTGTCCAATGTATTTTAGAAATTATTTCACAACAAAAACCACAAAAATCGTCGTAGCTGTTATTGTCTCTTTTTCAATTCTAACGCGTATTCCGTTGTATATTATTCGAGAAATGGTGCAGACGTTTGATGGACGAATGAACGCGACAAGACCTACATTACATTATGTTTCTTTTACAACACAGATAGTAACAGTTTTCCATCCTTTTCTTGGAGTATTCTTGCCTTTAATAATGCAAGTGGTTATGACTATTGCCGCTAGCATCATGGCCCATCATCTAAGGAATTCTCTTCAGTTTCGTAGCAACCATGCGCTCCAGTCAAAGCCTTTATCAAACCCACAAGACCAGAACGATGACAAGACTTTAGAGAAGACCAAACAAGTCAGTAAGGAGCTACGATCTATTCAGCAGACGTTCCTCGTTACCACGATTTTTATCGCCTGCAACTTGCCAAAAATCATTTTCAACTCGACAAAATTTTTCCTACCTGATTTTTCTTTAGGCAAAACTAATGGTTTAACGATAGTTGTATTTGAATATTTAAGAGACGCATTCCAAGTTCTAAATTCAAGCACTAATATATTCGTATACTACAAATATAATTCAAAATTTCATACATTTTGCTTTAAGTAAATTAATTTTAGTTGACAAAAATTGTTTTCAATTACAGTAAAAGTATTGTATGCATAGCTTAGCTTCGATTTTTAAGGTAAGGAATTATCTATGATGAATATTATATAACTGTAATAATATATATATATATATATATATATATATATATATATATATATATATATATATATATATTCATATATATATATATATATATATATGTATATCGTTTTTGTTTATTTATTTGTATATTTTACATTACATTTGTACACTTTTACAAAGATATATTAAAAATTGTTTAAGAGGAGATTACTAATTTAGGTATTGCTATTAAACTCTATATTATTTAAGGAACATAATTTTTAGAGTGAATTGATCTTTAAATTATCGTCAATTCACTGTTTGTATACAATCTTCATCAAAATATATAGTTGTTATGGTCGATGTATTTTGAATAAGGTAAGAGATTGCAACAATTTTCTTAAAATTATCGCCAGACCTTACGTTTTCTATGATAAGTGCTACGTCTTTACAATCATTTAGGTTCGCTCCGTAGAACAATTTAGTTATTTTTAAATAAATTACTAACTGCATAATTGTGTTTCACCACAGTGTGAAATTTAAAAAAAATAATTTTTGGAGGACAGAAACGATTGGCACAAAAAAATGTGGTTTTTTTTTAAATGTTGTAAAATAAATTTGAACTGCACACATTAAAATTACGAAAATGGAAGCAAACAATGGCAAAAAATATATCTCACCAGCAACCGTCTCTATCTACGTTTATGATGTTTATATTGATTATGAACATATTATATATATATATATATATATATATATATATATATATATATATATATATATATATATATAACATGGTCATACTTTCTAACTGCACGTGGTTGTAGTAAAATTTGTTTTATTCTTTAAACAGTTTAAATAAATTGTAAGTTCGTCAATGCTTTTTATTCACTTGATTTTTTCCTTAAATAAATAGTTTTCAAAAACGACATTGTTCAAAATGGTTGGGTGTAGATGTCACATAACTAAACATCAATGTTGTTAGAACCACATAATGGACATAAACACAACCTAAAAAATTCTCGCCCATTTTCTTTTAAACACTTTTCTGAACTTGGAATTGTAAGTGTAGTAGATGAAAACATTGGAACACGAATACAGCATTTGAAAAGTATCTCGTATTGCTTTGACTGTCTCGTACAGTCTTCCATACCTTCCATTGATCGAGAACTCGGGGTATATAGCCACAGCAGCGTTGAACATCATCTTTGGTGTACAGCTGACGATAAACAGCACAGACAGGATAATCATTTGTTTCATGATCTGAAGTTCCTTGCCACTTAACTTGTTCTTCTCGTTTGTCATTGTTTTGTCGTCGGTTTCTTGGTTATTGATTTTCTTGTGTTTCTGACGAAATTGCAAGGCTTTTTTAAGGAATGTAGTCATTACCACAGAAGTAATGATTAGAATAACCTGAACAATAAGTGGAAGCAAGGATCCTCTAACTGGCCAGACGATATACGTCACCCACTTCCTTTCTGGTGAAATCCACAACGAAGGTCTTGTGGTGTTGATCCTGGCATCATAGAGCGGTATTATCCCCATCAGAGCTAAGATGGGAACACTTGTTGCTATACAAAATGCTGCACTGATTGAGAGAAATAAAACAGAGACCTTTTTTGTCCCGAGCTTATGTCTAAACCACAAAGGTTTGGCGACACTTAGACAGCGACAAATGGACAGAAATGTTAGGGTGAGCATTGTGTTGGCGTAGAAACCGCTCCCGCAGTTGGTAATGTACGTGTTTATACCGTAAGGGTCGACTGGAAAATATATCTTAAATGAGGTCATCAATTCGATGGTTATAAATAAGTAAGAGATTGATGAAATTGTCATACAGAAAAGATACAACAAATCTGAGACAGAGAGTAACAAAAATGAAAGCGTTACTCCATCATTAGGTCCCATGGCCAGAAATGTCCGAATAGTCAAGGAGTTTCCAATAAGACCAAGAAAAGAAATAACACCCCGAGAGATACAAAGTACTGTCACTTCAAACGTGAAGTTGTTTTGCATCGAATCGTTGTATACATTTTCGCTGACATTTGTTTCCATTGTTGGTTATACAACTAGAACTGCCTTTCTTTGAATTTATATTGTACTCTTTTCTTGCGATTACTTAGCTAAAAAAATTGCTTAACTATATAAACAATATTTCATTTAGCAATTAATATTATAACCAAATTAATTCTGTTTCATATAAACATTCAAAATCTAAGTTTATACCTTATTTCATTTTATAATCGGATATAGTATTTAACACTACTTATTGAATGGTTTTATTTCTATTTTATTTTTTTTAATTTTATAACAAACTCTAAATCGCACAGAGACACACTAAAATGTTGTAGTTGTATTTTTATTTTGAATGTTAAATTTTATAATGTAAAAAACGCATATTGGTTTAATCTTCAATTTTGTCGTAATTATAAGTGTATTTACAACAGTCAAATACTGATTAATCAACACGACTACTTTCTTTTGAATTTTTGAAAAGTTTTAAATATTTAACAGTGGTAAGATACATTATAAAATAATTACATTTTCAAAAATGTATGCATGCATTAAATATTCGCTCTCGTTTGCTATTAAAATTGATTTCAACCCATCCTTGATTAAGTACGCCTTTCTTTATTATCAAATCAGTGACTTTGTGAACGCAATGTTTTTCATGTCAACTTATTTAATTTTGCATCAATTTCGTTTACAGCCAGTAATATTTACATAAACCAGTTTACTCCTGAAAGTCCTCAGAAGATTATCGACCTTTTTGTCTAATTTTGCGATATCACATTCTTAAATATTGTTACAAGAATACGTGGTCGCGTTCAAAAAAAATATTTTAGCCCACTAATAAATTTTAGATGAAAATTTTCTTTAAAATAAGACCCTGAACTGGAATTAGTATTCATCAAAAAGATATTACAGAGAAAAAAACATCATCTTAAATGTCTGCTTTGTGACGTCAATAGTCACATTCAAGATCTCAAGCTTGCCGTAGAGTTAAAACTGAGAAAATAACCAGGCAAATATTAATGCAGACCTTAAGGGGATATGCTCAGTTTATTTATATTTGTTTACAATATAACTTGTTAATCCTTTTGAATATTTTTACCATGCATGGCATATAAAAGTAATTATTAAACACCAAAAAAAGGGTTGAAAAAATTTTCAGTAATCATAGAAACCCGAAAAAATTCTCCGCCATTTTGATATTTTTTTTTTAAGAACGCAAAGGCTTTTTTACAAGATTTTAATACTTTTATTTAGTTCGAAAGGTCTGTTTGTTTGTGTGTAAGTTTGTGGAAAAATCTTGTAACCTCAATTTTGACCCATTTCTAATGCAGCGATGCAATTCAAACTTTCCAGATATCTTTCACTTTGATGACAATAAAACACTATCTATTTTGTAATTTAATTAGATGTTTAATTAGTGATTACAAATTAATTAAACCGTTTCGAAAATAAGGGGAGTTAACAAAATTAAATCAGTCGACAGATTACTACATTCAATAACAGAAGGGGAGATAACTAGGTAGACACAATCACCTAACAAACTGGTGAGTATTGGTTCGCGAGAATGTTTACAATGGTAAAACGTTTCGATCTAGTGAAGGCCATTAAGGGGGAGATAATAAAGTTTTTAAACAATTTGAAACTAAGGAGAGGTAACAAGAACTTGCTGTCGTCTATAAATAATGGTCAAGTACGGCTGCTTTCAAGGGGTCGATAATCCTCTTTCGGATATCGCGACTGTGATATTGACGGTGTTTTAAAGCAAATATTTTTAGTCGAGTCGAGCTCATAAATTAGGAATCACTAAAAAGTATAAAATAAAACAAATATAAAACCCTTTATAGCGACAAGCTTTTAAATGCACCGAAAATAAGAAAATAAAACCATATTACTTCCTTTAAGAAAAGCATTTGACGCTAAAATATGTAAAAGATCTCATAAGCGACTAAACATTTAGGAAATAAAGCTAATTTCTTTTATATATATTCTAAAGGTAAGTATATGCAATATAATGTTTTTTTTTCCTTCCACATTTAATGAAAAAACGAGTAATTCAAGGATACATTTTGTCCTTCTTAACTTTCGTAAATATTTTGGGCCCTTTTAAAATTTATTAACAAAAGATTCCTTGTTCGCATCACTATTATTTAATGCCAAATTAAAATACATAAATATATTCTTGTTAATTAGTCAAACACATAATACAAACGTGCAAATTGCATTAAAAACCCGCAATGCGTCATCTAAAACATCATGACCATTTTCTCCTAAACACATCTCTGAACTTGGAATTATAAGTGTTGTAGATGAAAACATTAGAACATGAATACAGCATTTGAAATGCTTCTCTTATTACGTCCACTGTCTCGTACAGCCTGCCGTACCTGCCAGTGATGGAAAACTCGGGGTAGATGAAGACGGCAGCATTGAACATCACCTTTGGGATGCAACTCACAGTAAACACCACAGACAGGATAATCATTTGTTTAATTATCTGAAGTTCCTTGCCACTTAACTTGCCGTTTTCGTTTAAAATTGTTTTGTCTTTTGCTTCTGGATCGTCTAATTTAAATGGAGTGGATTGAGTAGATGCTAAAGATGATGAAGTGTGTTTATGACGAAATGCCAAGGCTGATTTTAGGAATCTGTTCATTACCACAGAAGTAATGATTAGAATAACCTGAACGATAAGTGGAAGCAAGGATCCCCTGACTGGCCAAACGATATACGTCACCCATTTCCTTTCTGGTGAAATCCACAACGAAGGTCTTGTGGTGTTGATCCTGGCATCATAGAGCGGTATTATCCCCATCAGAACTAAGATGGGAACACTTGTCGATATACAAAACGCAGCACTGATTGAGAAAAACAGAACTGAAATTCTTTTTGTCCCGAGCTTATGTCTAAACCACAGAGGTTTGGCGACACTTAGACAGCGACAAATGGACAGAAATGTCAGGGTGAGCATTGTGCTAGCGTAGAAACCGCTCCCACAATTGGTTATGTACGTGTTTATTCCGTAAGGGTCGACTGGAAAATATGTCTTAAATTTGGTGCTCAGTTCGATACTTATAAATAAGTAAGAAATTGATGAAACGGTCATACAGAGAAGATACAACAAATCTGAGACAGAGAGTAACAAAAATGAAAGCGTTACTCCATCTTTAGGTCCCATGACCAGAAATGTCCAAATGGACAAGAAATCTCCAATTAGACCAAGAAAAGAAATAACACCCCTACACATACAGAGCACTGTCACTTCAAAAGAGAAGTTGTCTTGCATTGCTGCATGATCCAAACTTTCCGTGCTATTTGATTCCATTGTTTGTTATAGAGCTGTGGCTAGTTTTCAAAATATTACAATTTTTACTTACAGAGTAATTGATATCACGATTTATATTTTTCAAAACATTTCGATTTGTATTGATACAGTAGTTAATACAAACATTAATATTGTTTTATTAATATAATTTTCTACCTGTTAATTTCTAACTCACCATTTACCAGTAGTGGATATTATCCACACGTATCCATAAATCAAATTTAAAATATCAACTTTTCTACAAAGTTAAATCTTCTTTTTATTTATATCTTAATGTAATAAACTGTGATAATTTTGTTGCATTTTAAATTTTTAAAAACGCGTTATCTCATGTGCTACTCCACTTGAATTTTAACAGTACCTTAAACAATAAAATGTAAATTTTAATTTTTCTTTTTAACTGTATTGAAAGTCTTTTAAAATGTCAAAATTGTTAAAATATTGCAGTTGATTTTAGTTTATAAAGTTGTATTCTCCGCACCTTTAGCTAACTTTTTGCTAGTTATTAGATCGTTTTTGAAGCCAAAAAAGTAATACAGAAAACTGTACATTTCATTTTTAATTGTATGAATATATATTTTAGGTTTTGGTAAACTTTACGCGCCGATGCAAACGTTTCAATATTTTTTGTGACCAAAAATCAAACACGTGCCTCGCGAATAACACACATTCATTAAACAATGTCTAGCCAACTCCCTGTTCGTCAATAGAATCAGCGGAGACAGTATTTAAAAAATAAAAATTGAACAGCCTACAATTATAATTGATCTTAACGCTCTATTGTTTTCTTTCTAACGTCACATTCCTTTTAAGAAAATAAAGTTGTTTTGAAGAGCTAATTATACTCTTGCAGGTCAAAGATCTACGTGAACGGTCTACGAGTCAAATATTTTCTTTCGTGACGTCAATAACATTAGCTTTATCCATTTATCGGGTTAGAATCTTCTTGGCCTAGATTTTAAATTAACGATGATTCATCTTTAGATATTGTGTGAAAACAAAGAAATAATACTAATTATATCGAATAATAATTATACTGTAGAAATCGTTAAAAATCAGACGAGACATTTTAAAGTTAGGAGTAGAATAAATTACAACTTGTTAGATCAAGCCTTGCAAAATATAATGGTTAGATCTATATGACAATGTACACTTCATGTTACATTCAGCGTTACGTAAATGAGGCTCTTACGTTTGTTACAGAAACCTATCTAGAAGAGAAATTCAAAAAAAAAATTAACAACTGGTTGACTGGTAGATTGCGGTTGAATTACTGTTTTGGAAGCACATCAAGAAAGTAAAACAGGCCACCATGTTGACACGTAATACATAATTGTGTTATAACATAATTGTTTATATATACAATTAAGAATGTAGAAGAAGGATGAGGGAAAAAACAAAGGGTGCACATTTATTTTGTTTATTCAAGACTTCACTGACATTAGGTAGGAAAAGTGGTTCCAAAAGTGGTTCCACTTTGTGTTGCCAGAAAGCATATTTTTGAACCAAAATTGAATATTTTATAACATTTGTGAAATAAGTACAAAGTCACTTCCGGTTTTACTAAGGCTAGACATATTTAAACACAAAATTACTAATAATATAATAGTAATTTACCAAACATTTTTATTTTTATTTGGATTAGTATAGTCAGGGTGTTGTGGTACAAGGGGATGTTATATTATTTAATATAAATAAACTACTAGGCTATATTCCATTGTAATAATAAGTAAAGCGTAATTAATATCAACATTTAATATAGGCCTAATCAATCTAGTTCGACCTCTGACTATGGGGTCATCTATTAACGATGCCACAACGATGCCAGACCTCCCCCTTCCCCAAAAAAGTAAACCTAAGCCAACCCCCCCCCCCCCCCCCGCTATTTTGTTTTTAAAGCAGCGATTTTCATAAAATATTTAGACCTATGGGCTTTTCCAACATTCAATGTAGGCCTATTAATGAATTATTTTATAACAATTTATAAAACAACTTTAAATAATGCAAATAAGGGCTTAAATTCAGTTTCTTACCATGAGTGTTTGTTGAACATGGAAAAGTGTCATCTTACTTTCTGAACCCCCTCCCGCTTGACCAGAGGCGTAGCGACCCTAGCCGGCGCCAAACCTTTAGATTTGCACCCCCCTCAAGATTTCGATTTGCACCCCCCCCCCTCAAACTTTTGATTTGCACCCCCCTCAACCTTTTCAATTTATTTTTCCAACCCATTTTGGCGCCCCCTAAGGTCGTCGTCCCCCCCCCCCCCCCCCGCTACGCTACTGCCCTTGACACAAAGGTCCAAATCTCCCCCACCACCTCAAAGTCCGAGACCACTACAACATTTTGCTATAATTTATAGGATATTCATTAATTAGTCATACAAACCTAATTACATTTGTTGTTTTGATGGTATCTCTGCCATTACAATTATTAAATAGTTTATCTTAACTCAACATTTCCCTTAACCTCATTTGCTACAGCTGTCTATCCTTATAGAAAACATCTTTTCCTCAAATATCTGGAATGCATCTGATCAGCAAGTCTTTTTCTTTTGTAATATATAAACAATTACAACATGTTCATAAACTTGCACAGCCAATAACAACACATTACCAGGAAACAGGCAGCGATTATAGTTTGTTGTATTTGTGGTTGATGGTTAGTTATCAGCCATATTTCTCTAAGCTTGGTCTACATTTATATGCTGGTATTTGTGGTATGGCTAGAATTGAGAAAAACCCATATTCTTGATTCTTCCTTTATCATTATGTTTTACAGCTATGATAGATATATGCAAATGTAAGACTTATAGTGGGACTACATATTTGTGAACACATTTGCTAAAGCAAAAGTTCTTGAGTTGAAATTTTAATCCTTTAGGTTGTCTCTGATTCAAATTCAAAGCAGCTCTAACTGGTACCTGACTGGTTATGGACAGTAAAACTTGCTGACCGTACAATTTATTAATATGGAAGGGCAACAAAACTAGGTGAAATCTACTTCAGCACCATATTCTTAAAAACTATTTATAGTTCGCCAGTTTAAGTTAATTATTGAATAAAGGTAGCAATAATTAGTTTCCGCATACACCAGCACACACAACCAGTGCTGAAAAAAAAACATAACAAAGTTTATATTTTCTTTTTTTAATTACCATATTAATTCAGAATATTAAAAAAATAATTGTTCAATATGAACAAGTTTTCTTGGGTCCAACATGTATCCTTGGATCAGTTTTTAAATTGAGCTTCATCTTGACTTTTGTCTTCTCTGTATGCAGTTGTATAATCCACAGTATCTAAAAAAAAACAAATGAATTTCATAAACTGTTATATTAAAATTAAACTCATTATGTTTACATACTTTCAACTCTTAATGTTATAAATAAAAATATTTGTCTGTCTTATAAAGATCATAAAGCAATGATGTGTATTTATGTATTTGATTGTATGGGCTATCTAACCATTACCATTAATTAAAAATATAGGTCTAATAGTTTACTTTTAATATTTTAATGTAAGGAGTTTGTCATAAAATACAATAGGCCTTCAAAAGAGTCCAAAAGTCATGTATATATCATTAAAAAAAAGAAAAAGGTATCAATAAAGATCTACTACTTATGTTTAGCCACCTCAGGAATTAGTTGAAAATTGATATTCAAACTAGGCTACTATAACTATCATTAATTCATACACATACTAGAATAAATATTAGGATAACTATATTAATTTGATTAGTAAGTTAATCCATCTATGACAATTGACACCTTTTGGCTTTATCAACTATTCTGCATTTTAAATTCTAAAGATCACTATATAATACTAAGAGTAGACTAAGTCATATATTAAGTTAATTAAGTACAACTAAAATAAGACAGCTCTTTACTAATAAGCCTACTCTTCTATTCAGTAATTTTTACTATTATTATTAGAGGCCTAAAATTACTGTTAGACTACTAATCTAGATTAAACTTAAATTTTGGATATTATTTAATGTACTAGTCTGTAACCTTTTATTTAGGCTACATGTAATTTTTACAAGTTTAAAATTGTAGCCTTATTAAGCCTAGTTAACTTTGCTTAACTTACATACAAATACTAAATACCTACCCAATCACAGGCCTACTAGACTACTACTAAGCTACTACATCTAAATCTACAGTCTAGATAGGCCTACTGAACTAAAAGTAATATCACAACTGTAAAAATTAAGCATTCTTTATTTTTTTTACAATACTATTTTAAGCCTATAGACCTACTGCTATTAAATATGAATCTATTAGTTATTAGACTAACATAAGTCATCATAAGTCTAATTAGTAATTACCTCTAACTAGGCCCTAATCATATTAACAAAGTAAGTATTAGGACTGTCATCTGTACCATAGAATACTACTACTATAGTAAATATATTTTAACAAGTAGGCTCTAACAAATTAGACTAAGCATTTATTAGACTAGGCGTATGTAGTGCCCTACTAACTAAATTATAATAGATTCTAGATCTAGATCTAGATCTAGAATAAAAAAGAATAGATCTCTAGTAGTATTCTCTAGACTCTCGTCTAGAGTACTCCTCCTAGAATCTAGATTTAGTACTAGATTCTCGATATAAATCTATTTTAGTCTAGATAATCTAGATTAGATCTAGATCTAGGTCTAGAAACTTATGGCTAGATTCTAGATCTCTAGCTTTTAGAGCACTCACAGAACTCACAGTGAGCAGTCACAGGCCTAACAAAAATAATGAAACCTGCGTTCAAAACATTCTACAAAAACATTGGTAACAATTAATAAGAATAATGTTAGATATTAGTAATCTGAGCATAACAGTCATAAAAAAATAAGCCATTTCTAATGAAAAGGGATACAAACGAATTTTAAAAGCCTGAATCGAACAGAAAATATTCCCTTGTTCGCCATTTTGTTTTCTTGGATCGCCTTGTCGGTATTTATCATGGACAATAAATGTTATGACTTTAATCTTTTTACTCTCCCTGG